TGAGTGCAGTGGCGGAGCTAAGGAACAAAGGGCCCTGGTGTAAGATTTTTCTTTGGGCCCCCCCCCCCCCCCCAAATCAAACCATAGCTCAATCGTGATACAGTTAATCAGTAGAGTCTGAAAGATGGAGGGCCACAGACTGATAGCAGCGGGGTCCAGTAACCTGCAATCTCAGCAGTTACCAGGGCACCCCAAGTGGCAAAATGCTAGGGCCCCGTCACCCTGGTAGTTCTGCCACTGTATAGAGGACTACAAATCCCAGCAATACATTACACTGCAATGCAGTTCCAGAGTGAATACCTGCGCTTAGGGACAGATAAGCGGCTCCTTGAGTGATTACATGCGGAATGTGTTATCCTGACATTGATTTGTACAGGCTTTCCGTCTGCAGCTGTATGTGTATACCTGGCCATATTGGACCCACAAATTCTGTTCTGGTCAGCCTATGGTTAGGAATGGCCACGTGAATGAGCCCTAACTGGGAGAGGGAAGGACAGCACTGTATGCTAATAAGGCTCTACTGTGTGGCACATTGCTGTTCTTCTGACACTGGAAGCTTCCAATAGGAGTAGAGAGCAGAGTGATGACTTTTTCAGTGTTCTGCATTTCTTTCTTTGTCAGTCACAGGCTATGGTGGGCCTGTAACTGACAAAGACACCAGCCTGGGTTGCAGTGTAGTGTGCAGAAAGGTCTCACTGGATGTATCGTCTGACAGGGATTTAGCCGCTTGTCTTGAAGTCAGCTTTAACTATTGGGCTTCAGATGTCATTTTAATCATTTGCTATTCCGAGATTTACGACTTGTTAGCAATCACCTTATTTGCTGCTCAAAAAAAACAATCCGTCTAGAAAAATATCTCCCTAAGTCTTCATCACTGAGGTAATGTTTGTTAGTACTGAAAGGGATAGACTGGCAGATCCGCTATATGGTTAGGCTCATGTCAGACGGGCAACTCTGTCACTTGTGATCCAGCCACTGGTGAGCTTTGCTGAAATTGCCAGCAGCCTGTCTATCCCCCTGGAATTACATCCTCTGTAGCTGAGACAGTGAAATGTCGGTCCCATCGCTAGCAATCAAGATTCAGCAGCATTTAGGGCAGCAACAGAGCAACAAAAAAATGCTGCATCTGGCTACAGAGGGAGCAATTCCATAGGGACCATAGTAATCCTGCTGCTGGTGATTTGTCTCTAGAGGCTGAATTGCCTATCTGACATCAGCTTTACTGTGCAATGCACTAACACAGCCATCTAACCAGTGTTACTTTTTCATTTAAACAATCATTTCACATTTTTCATAGTTACATAGTATTTGAGGTTGAATAAAGACACTGGTCCATCAAGTCCAACCTTTGTGTGTCTGTATTCAATTCATTTTTTTCCGGTCAGGAATTAGGACCGTTCTGTGAAAGAATAGGGCTGCTAAACCATTATGGTAATTATTTCTGCATTAGTTTCCACCGTCCTCAGTATCCGTAAAAATGGGATTGGTGCTGCTGAACCTTTTGATCATGCCTTGTGAAGGATAGCTGTAGTGATATACTGTACATCGCTGTCAAGACAGAACTTGTACTGTGAGGATAATGGTAATACAGCAGTTGTTGGCAGGGAACAGCAATGGGTTTATGTATGGGAGGAGGAAGTGGCAGAGAATGAAGGAGGATATACTTCTCACTTGGCACCTGAGCAGAGCAGCTGTTACACTGAAGATTGCTGGGCTCCCTGAATATACATAGCATGGACTACCCACACATCCCAACCGTCACCAGGGCTTACACCGCTGCCTGTCTGATAACTACTGCTGCTGTGGTAAGGAGGTGGCAGCAATGCCGCACAACATAACTGCCCTTTAACTTCTTCCAATAACTAAATCTAAACAATTATTACCTTTTGTATCACTTGCCCCTCCTACTAGATTGTAAGCTCTCACACGCAGGACCCTCCTAACCCTATCGTACTAAAATTGTATTGTAACTGTACTGTCTCCTCCATTTTGTAAATCGCTGCACAAATTGTTGGCGCTATATAAATCCTGAATAATAATAATTACAGAAAGGCAATAATTGCCTTTTTTCCAGAGACATTACACAGATTTGGACATTAGTTCCTTCACTTTAAACATTGACTAACATCACAATAGAACCCATTTTTTTATATTCAGTGACTATCTGTTCTCAATGTCTGTGCATTTAAAGTTAAATACGTTAAACAAATGTATTTTGTTATGTTGATAGTTGCTGTCCAAATATAATAAGAGTCTATAAACTATGAAATTTAGCGCAATACCTTTATATGCATTTCAATCTGGGACAAAACAGCACTGATACTGTGAAAAATACAACACACAGCAAGCAGTTCTCAATGGTGGATGCGTTGCATGTTGACAACTATAGAATGAGAGCCTTTGCCTGCAAAGTAGTTGTACAAATGAACACCCAGGGGAAAAGGGGTATTATTGAATTACCGTATTTTTTGCTCCATTAGATGCACCTGACCATAAGACGCACGTAGGTTGCTGCCCGTGTTGCCTGTGTCTAACTAGAGCTAGAGCTCTTGTGACAGCTGAGAGGAAGGGCTCTCCCCTCACTGTCTACTCGTCCGTGAAAGGTAGTCGGCTGGGGGACGGGGGTGTTGCTTGCTGGGGACAGTGG